TTAAAGCTCTGTGGCACATAACCATTTATTAAAGATAAATTAAGTACATCTAAAATATAAAGATTAGTTAAGGGAAATGCTTCTTTGAACAGTCTGGTTGGGATGGGATCTAGCAGACATGTTGATGRTTTGGATGAAGCTATTATTTTAGATAATTCAGAAAGCTCAACAGGACAAAAACTGTCCAGACATAAATCAGGTTCCAGTGACACTAAAGGTGCCTCATCTGACAGAGAATCAGAGACAGTAGCAGGAAGTTTGGCATGAATTGTATTCCTTAATAAAATTATTTTATCTATAAAGAATATAATGAATTCATCACTACTTAAAGTTATAGGGATACATGGCTCAACAGAGACAGGACTTTTCATTAGTCTAGCTATAGTACTGAACAGAAACCTAGGATTGTTTTTATTCTCTTCTTTTAAAGATAAATAATATACAGTTCTAGCTTTACAAAGGGCTTTCTTATACGTTAGCAGGCTGTCTTTCCAGGTTAAATAAGATTCTTCTATGTTAGTGGAGCGCCATTTTCTCTCTTTGTTTTCCAGATGCCTGTTTTAAAGAACGTAACTCTGAATTAAACCAAGGAGTTGGATTCCTCCGATCGATAGCTTTCTTTTTTAGTGGAGCAATTCCATCAAGAGAAGTTTGCATTGAAGTTGTAATATTATCAACAAGACCATATAAGTTACTGTTCTCTGTTACATTATTCTGTAAGACAGAGGAAAACAAAGATGGAAGAGATTCTTTAAATTTAGCTATGGCGTTCACTGATAAACATCTACTATAATTAAATTTACTCTCAGTAGCTATAAAGTTAGCTAATGTAAACTCAAAGGTTATTTAAAAATGGTCAGAGAGAACAGGATTGTGAGGATAAATCATTAAGTTCTTGCTCTCTATACCATACGTCAGAACCTGATCAAGAGTGTGATGAAGAGACTGAGTAGGTCTGTGGACATTTTGAGTAAAACCAATTGACTCAATTAAATTACTAAAAGCTATATTTAAGCTATCACTTTCACTATCAACATGAATGTTAAAATCTCCCAATATTATAATTTTATCAGTATTTAATAATAAATCTGTCAGAAAATCTGAGAATTCTGATAAAAACTGAGAATAAGGG